GCTGAATCATGTCATATGCCCCACCTCCTAATGCAGGTAGGTAGAAGTGAATGGATATTTGAGTACTGACCCTGGGGTGCGGATGCCCCCTCTTGAGGCTTGCTGCACAGTCTTCTGCTCCCTGTGGTCATCACACCTCTCCTCACCTGCCCTATAGGAGGAAAGGGACCATAAAGTGAGAATTCAGTCATTTACTCACCCTCATGTTTTAAATGGTTTGACTTTCATTCCTTAGAGGAACATTTTTAGCTGAACTGTCCCTTTAAGTCTGTCATGGTGATAAATTATGGCTGCATGATGATGTTTATACAACACAAATGTGTTGGTTCCTGTTATATTTGCACTGATATAAGTTTAAAACATTGTTTGTTTGTTTTTCCCAGATGAGGAAATTACATTGCATTTAAATGTTTGATTTAGCATTTTAGCAGCTGTTTAAGAATGATCTTTTATTCAATCATTTGAACATCTGATTTTTGCTAGGCAAAAAAAGCTATGTACCAGCTATACTCAAATGACGGTTTCCGGCAAAATAAAAATACAGTACAAATGTTTTTGATGACATACAGAGCAATACCACAGCTTTTAGTAATAATTATTTTTTATAATATTCATAACACACACACACTCACAACTGAATTATTTTTCCGTAAAATTTTATATACATATATACGCACACTACCAGTCAAAAGTTTCCGAACACTAGGATTTTTAATGTTTTTAAAGAAGTCTCCTCTGCTCACCAAGCCTGCATTTATTTGATCCAAAGTACAGCAACAACAGTAAAATATTGAATTTTTTTTTACCATTTAAAATGACTGTTTTCTATTTTAATATATTTTAAAATGTAATTTATTCCTATGATTTCAAAGCTGAATTTTTAGCATTATTCCAGTCTTAGTGTCACATGATCCTCCAGAAATCATTCTAATGTTCTGATTTGCTGCTCAAAAAACATTTATTATTATGATTATTATGTTGAAACAGCTGAGTAGACTTTTTTTCAGGTTTCTTTTATGAATAGAAAGTTCAGAAGAACAATATTTACCTGAAATAGAAACCTTTTGTAACAATATAAATGTCTTTATCATCACTTTTGATCAATTTAAAGCATCGTTGATAATTCAGTTGTTAGTGTGTGAGTGTTGTGTTTTTCCATGAAAATATATATATATATATATATATAGTAAAAATGTTATAATATTCATAATTTATATATATATATATTGTGATGCATACAATAGATTATATTTTAAGATATTAATAATGACTCGATAAGATATATAATAATATATAACTCCGTTATGATTTATAATTTTACCGGAAATTATACTATGGTAAATTTTTGTAAGAGAGATCAGATGGAGCTGTAAAATCATTATAACAAGAGGTGTGGCTCATTTAACGTATTAGATAAAACATCAATTAAAAGTAATAAAATCCATGCAGCAACCTTATGAATCCAATCATGCCAGTCTCGAAAAGTTATGCTGCGTCACAATGTATTTATAATCATGTTTCACTGCTAGTTTGATGCCGACAAGTGTTTGAAGAATGCCCACTGTGCCCAGTGCCAAAGCTTATCATGTGCTGCCTGGCTGCGTCTAAAACAAATTTCACACGGAAAATACTGACCTATTAAAGTGCCAAAAGCGGCGCGAGGCCCTCTGATCATGTTGAAGATCATGACTTCTGAAGAAAATATGATGAAAGAAAAAGACGATTTTTAAGCCATGAAATCGTGCCCAAATTACAATGCCAGGTTTACTTCCTCTAACCTTAAAGTCGGTTCGAGTTCATATGCGAGCACAGAGCTGGTGTAACCCTGAAGGACCCTGAGCAGCCAAAACAGCTCAGCTCACGAGCGCCTGTTAAGGACATAAGCTACGTATGTAAAGTGAGCGTAACACGAATGTAGTTGTAAATGTATAACTAAAAGTAAAGTTAAATAAAATATATAATACAAAAACATGTGCATTTCTGCAAAACATTTCGCATAAATCACCTGTGGATTTTACTTGCTCACGTTTAATCTTATTTTTATCGTGAGAAATAATTCTGTCACACTATCTCTGTTAAGTTGGCTCACTATAGTAAAAACTTGCGGGAACACTCAATAATTACCTGTAACGTTGATTAGTAAGTGTCAAAAACAACAGTGTTTATAATAAATGTAATTCAGGCAGTATTTGGTCACCCTCAACGCGCAGGACCTCTTCAGTCCACTATGGCGGCGCCCGGTGGAGTTCTGAACTGTGAGGACTTTTCAATGTTTCAGGTAAAACGTGCGAAGTTGTCAGCAGACAGGATAAAATTAAGCAGGATGTTTAAGCACATACTGATTGTTATAAGCACGTTGTTATGATGTTAACGGGAAGGTTGTGTGAATGACTGACCCTCGGTGGTCTGTTGCATGCAGAAGTGAGGTTCAGTGAGCAGCAGAGCAAACATGAGCGATTAAGCAACTGTGCTTTGTAAATATAAATATATACATTAGACGAGTTTTCATTTATACACAATACAAAACACGGATTTTTTTTAAGCCATCAAGTACATAATGTATAATATGTGGGTTGTTGGACTCGTTCACTTTTTTCAGCACCAGGATTTTCAGTTAAATTTTATTTGAGCTTATAGTGGAAGGTGTATAATGTAGGTGTTTTGACATTTTTAAATTTTATTTATTTTTTTTAAACAATTTTATGTACGGTTTTTGTTTTTTTCCAATTCATTTAATTGTTTCTGAGGTATTATTCTAGGTGTCCCTCAGTTAATATAAACCCATAAAGCTGCATGCATATTAATTACACAAGAATTAGAAAATGTAGTTTGAAATGGATAACTCTGCTTAATGTTGTCAGCTACCTATGTATATATAGATATGTTGTACACTTTTTTTTTTTGAAACGTAACGTGTTATAGTTACCAAGGTTTTTTACTTTAAGAGAAAGTTGTAGCAGTTCTATCAATAATGCTTAAATAATAATGCTTAAATGGAGGGGGAAGATGTTTTCTTAATATTTAAGGCGGCAAATCTCAACATCCTTGATATGTTCTGGTCATTTTCCTGAAAATTCTAGTTAACTAGTAAATAAACACAGGGTATAACTACTTCCAAAAAAATAAACCTTGAGGATTTTTCCCCCTCCACCTTATTACAGTAGCGATGTTCCCTGTCAAATGTGAGAAGCCTACCAAAAATTTCTCAGAAATAATTCACGCTAGTGGATACTGGATTCAATCTTTGTATGAATTTGTTTTCTTTCAGTTATCACAGGTCTTGTATTTCTTAACAAAAAGATTGAATCCAAGATTTTGTGTTAATATAACAATCAGAGATTTACAATCAAATTTTTTTTTTACAGCAAATTAGGTAAAGAATTTTCAGCACAGCAAGGGTTGAAAAGCAATTGAACAACTGTGATTGCATTACTTACAATACAAGAACAAATGGTAACTTAAAGTTGAATTTTGATTTACATTGATAGGCTGTACATCTCTGTTCTTGTCCTGTAGGAAGTATTAAAAGTGATGCGCACCATAGATGACAGAATTGTCCATGCCCTCAATACTACTGTGCCCACTGCATCCTTTTCAGGCAAAGTGGATGCCACACAGACCTGCAAAGAACTTTACGAATCTGTATGTATCACCATGCAAAATACTCTTTAATAATCTAAAATTATTATTAGAGATCCCCTAATTTTGTTCTTGATGTATTACTGATTTACTGTCATACTCTGTGATGCATTAATTATAAGCCCTTTTTCTGTACTGCCTATGCCTTTCAGCTCATGGAAGCTCATCTTTCCAGAGATAGGGCAATAAAGTCATGTATTACAGAGACCTCTGCTGTCGTTGGGCAGTTACGTGAAGAGAGGGCAAAAGATAGCGACAACTTGTCAATAATCAAGCAACTCAGGAAAGAGCAAACTAAGGTAATGTCTTTATTTATATGTACTTGGCCTGAAATTGGTTGAAATCTTGTTTGAATTCTCTGTCATTTCCCTACAGTTAAAACTCATGCAGTCTGAGCTAAATGTTGAAGAAGTCGTCAATGACCGGAGTATGAAGGTGAGTTATTGAGTGTCTCTCCTATTTATCCAAGTGGTTTGCATTTAGGAGTGTTTCTTAATGATCATGTTTTCCTCCAGGTTTTCAATGAAAGGTGCCGAATTCACTACACCACTCCCAAGATCAAGTGAATAATACCTCTGTTGTCAACATAAACTACACAGTTGTTCTGAGGAAAACACCTGCAGCTGAACCTGGACATTGTCACTGACCCAACAAACCCTCCATCAGTATGCTCTGTGGCTTTGTTTCTTACTGTGAAGAAACACTACTGTTGCCCGAATCCTGTAAACCTTTTTGTATAAATATTGTACAAAAGATTTTATAAACCATGAAATGTTTTCCAATTGCTGAAAAGTTGTCTTTTGCTTTGCAATATAGTGATTAATGTTCATTTGAAGTGAAGGGGACTTAAAGATTATTGATCTGTTGTTCTCAGATGTTGATGTGGCCACCTGTGTCAAAGGTTAAAGCAGGGGTTTTCCAACCCTATCTCATGGGAAAACATAACTATTTTACGAGTTGGCGATTTCGTATGAATTTGTACAATGTGAATTGTGTGAACGTATGATTTTTAGAAAAAAGTAAGTTTGAAGGCCTGTCCCTAAATATAACCATCACTGGGGCATGAGCAGATTGTATGAATGAGAAATCAGTCACTAATTAATCAAATCTTAAAATATAATAGTAGAAAAAATAGTTTTGGGTTTTCAGTCTTTTAGATACCACAGACCCCCAAATGATGATCCTTGTGTGAGGGATTATCGTAAAATGTAAAAGGCATATACAGTTTCTAATGTAAATATCCAATTTGTACTGTGACAAAAATCTACTCGTTATAGAACTGTACTGTTAAGATGTATTAGTTTTTTATCTTAATATTAAGTTATTTACTGAAATTAGTCACATTTTTATTTAATCTTACTTTTATTTAAAACATTTTTCCCCCACTGTTTGCTAAACTTCTCCATGCACCATCTAGCATGCCATTGCCTCCCCTGGGTATCCCTGGACCCCAGTTTGAAAAACCCTGGGTTTAAGCATATCTTATGGAACCCGGCTGACATTATCATGCACTTTTATGATGACTTAAATAACAAGTGCAAAAAGTCCACTTTGCCACCAAAAACAAAACTGTCCATCCATGTACTTTATGTAAATAATGTACATTACAGCCAGTTCGGTATAAAATACCTATCAACTGCATCAGTATCACTAATTACAAAGACCAAACTACTGACATAGGTAACTAGATGTGAGTTAAGTGATGTTTTGAGTGTGTGGGATGGAAAACTGTTATTTTACAGCTATGCCACACACATAATGGAAACATGTATTTAAAGGATTACCTAATTCACAGTTAGTGTCATTGCAGGTAGTGATCCCACTATCGGGTAAAATGGCAACCGTGAGATTCATGAGAATTTTAGGCAATATTATGATTTTCTTAGTTTCATTCAGAAGTACTCAATGGGATCATGATGAGCCTTGGATGTCTGAATGCTGTGCAGCTTCAGTTTTTCTCCAGCATAGGGCAGAGTTTTATAGACACGTAGATGAATGTACTCATCCCCACCTACATGCACCTGAAACAGATCATTTACAACAATTATTTTAAACACTTTTATAGCTGTTAAGGACTATATCTGAGGCTTGCTTTTACAGACATATTTAGTACATTAACAGGGTACTCCTATAAGTTCATTCATAAAATCACAAGGATTTCTCGTACCTTAATGAAGTAATTTGTCCCCGCAACAACTTGTGTTTTAAAAGATTTGGCAGTGAAAATGTCAAACTTGCGCTCAGCTTTATCCTCGGCATGAGACTTTATCTGTGGAAAAGCGGGAGCTGTCAGACTGTGTGACGCATCTGTTCACTATTTCTATTTATCTGCAATGAAAATTTACAAACCTCATCGAATATTTCTGCACCTCTTCATTGGCATCTTTCGCCTCAGATGTTCCACCACAGCGCACATTCATTTGAAATACAAACGGCTAACAAAAACACCCAGGAACGTCTTCTCACTACTGACTGGAACAAGCGTGCCTCACAAGTACTGAAAAGTGAAACCAAACATTTCGATCGCCATCTAGTGGCTGGCTGCAGTACAGTTCATAACTCTGAACACCCAGGTGACTACTGATGCTTCTGTCACTACTGAATCAACTGAATTAATTATGAACATATTTTAAAACATTTTTTAACAGTACTTGTCATTATTTTATACATAAATATTGCTTGTTTTTGACTTCTTTGCTTTCATGTGGTTTGGTAAAGCACAAGTTCAATCAATAAAACTTGTTATGCGAAAGGTTGAAATTTGCATACAATTGTCACTCATGCATTTTTAAAGGGGTCCTATTATGCTCTTTTACAAAGTCTTGATTTTGTTTTGGGGGTGTACTAGAACATGCTCTCATGCTTGGTGGTTCGAAAAACGTATTATTTTTCACATAATTTACATTATTAAAATACCTTTACTTCTTTGCTTTCATGTGGTTTGGCAAAGCACAAGTTCAATCAATAAAACTTGTTATGCGAAAGGTTGAAATTTGCATACAATTGTCACTCGTGCATTTTTAAAGGGGTCCTATTATGCTCTTTTACAAAGTCTTGATTTTGTTTTGGGGGTGTACTAGAACATGCT